AGCTCTGTTGCTCAGGTGTTGCGTTTCCATCAAACCCATCATGGAAATGTACTAATATCTGTTCCTCTCCATCTGCTCGGTTTAGGTATGAGTCGTCTGTGTATTGCTCGCTTTCAAACGGGCGCCTAGTATTATCGGTTGATCGAGGTAGGGGTCTTAGTGGCGGCTGGCCATATGAAGTCATGTTGGAGTCGTGTGTCGGTATCCTGAATCGATGTGGAAAGCCAGATCTCAAAGAGATAGTAGGAGTGAATGGTTGTCAACGAATGCTTTTTCAAACGGGAACTGGGATGATTAATGACGTTGGTATTGTCACTGCTATTGTCTGGCGACAGCGACTGCAGAACAACGAAAACGAATGAAATCACACCAAGCGGCGACAGGCGATGAAAAGAAAGCGGCAAAGAGGCAATGGAGAAAGTGAAAGCACGCAGAAAAAGGAGATGCGTGAGGCTGTCATACAGACACGCGACCCCAGATCTTTTGGCCGACTTTAACGGACCTGGCAAACCACTGCCATGGCTTAATATGTATAGCTCTTCTGCTTGGATGTCCCTTCTGGCCTATGATGTGGCAGAGGCGCCCGCCACGTCTCCCTGAGTCAAAGCTCGTCGGTGGGAGTAGGCATTGTCCACAGGCACCGGGTGAAGGTGATTGGAGCCATCAGGTGGAGCTGCTTCATAACGAGCGCCATGTTTGCGGGCTTGAGGCTCCGTAGCCGCCCTGGATTCGCTGGGGTGGAAATGTACAACTCTATGCGAGATCTGAGACGCTCCAGATGTGTAGCTTCGACGTCGTGTCCAGCAAAATATGGACAAGAGCCAGTCAGACGACAGGACATGGTAATGGAAGCGCCAGGCCAGCCATGACAGCGCCCAACGGTTGGTGAGGAAGGCGCCGCCAAGAGACGCTAGTTTACAGTGCTGTCCGGGGCCCGTCTGGATGCGCCCGACCGGGAAGGTTTTTGGTGGGCAAGGTTTGCTCGCTACAAAGTCTCCATGGAGCCTGGCATGCTTTTTTCTCAACAGCATGCTACTCGCAGCATACGCAAACGGCAACATATTGCGTGCTGGATCCGGATCGGGTGTCCGCTCGCTGGGTTCTGCCTGGCAGGACTTGGTGAAGCCACCTGTTCACGAGCCGCTTACATACCTAAGTAGTTAGTATACATATGAATGTCCTCCTATCGGACGGACATGGCAGTTCGTCCCTGTGGCGCACCATGCCCATGCCCCCACGAGGCAAGTAGTGGTGCACGCGGTAAATATTTTCCGAGTCACGTGCCGGCATCAACAAGGCGTCTGGCATTCGGAATGCCCTGTCAAAGTGCAGACAGCAGTTGTGCAACGCGCTATGAGCCGGTGGGAACCGTAAAGCTCACTCCCTGGGACCGAAAAAAACGTCCTGCGGCTCATGACGGCCCATGTCGCAATGTCCGTATGCCGATTGACCGTCCCCTGCAACCATGCAAATCTGTAACTATGTACCGACATACTAACGTATAATTATCGCTGTGCCGCACCAAACGGTACGACTGGACTATCAGGTCCCCTGCTTCTTTTCTTCACCCTCTGCACACCGCCGCCCAGCCCATCGGTTTCTCGTCCATCCCCCGAGTGTCGCTGTGGGACAGCGTAGAGCGGTAGACAGCAACCTGCGCAATGCGAAGTGGGGAGGTCTAGCCTAATTAGCGGCCCTCCTTTCACGTATACGCCAAGCGGCGAACTCGACAGCAATTTGGTTATCGCGAGAATCTCCTTTCCCACCGTCGCCCAATCTTCTCCCTTGGAGTCAGATACCTCCTGTCCCTCTTTTGTTAATTGCGACCGACGACAGCCTCCATTGAACAACTCGTCGCGCTATCGCTTTACTTACGCCTTTTGACCACACCCGCCAGCTGTCCTATAATACCAAAAGACCCACCCCCAAACACCACCTGTGATCCTACCTCACCGGCTCGCGGTCACAGCCACCCGCGCAGGTGCGCCTTTCCATAACCCACCCAGCCTACAGACGCAGACAACGTCACGCTGGCTTCCCAATCCTCCTTCTCTACTTCCTCTGGCCAACGGAGAAGGCGCTCATCGGCTGCAAGGCAGGCGCCATCCAACATCACCCTCCCCGATATCATCGAATCGCGAAGTAGGCTCGGCACAACGAGCGGTCTCTCGGGCCGCTCCCTGGGTGAAGGCCTGCCCACAATACCCAGTACCCCAGGTATCGCGGACATGTCTAGGTCCTCCTCGCCCCAGCCCGGAGGGTGGTCGAGTCCAGGCTTGAACACGCCTTACGATAACAGCGGGCAGAGCAGTCCATACCCCAATGGCTCCTCCTCACACAATGTCACTTGGGCATCGGCTCAGGCCCGGAGTGCTGAGGTCAAAGGCTACCCTGCTTTCACTCCTAGAGGCCAAGGTTTCTTTGGCAAGCACTTTCGCAAGATATCTACGAGTCTGCCCTTCAATCATAGCGACAAGGAAAAGCTTGGCCGAGGACGGTCTCAGGGCAACAAGTTCACACGGGCTCTCAATGGCATAGTTTGGAATCTGTGGCGCCTGCGGAAACGAGTCATGGTCTTGTTTTTGGTTACGTTTCTTCTTTTCTTTTGGAATTTCAACACACGTAAGTCTAAGCACTTGATCCTCTATTCCGTCCATTGGTACTGACGCCCGTAGCCATACGTCGAGCATACAGACGCTCAGCATGGTTCGGTGGCGGCAGTAAATATGTCGTCATCTTGGCTGCAAATCAAGGTGGAGGTGTGATGGAATGGAAGGGTCCCCGTGAATGGGCCATTGAGCGTGACAGCGTTAAGAATAAGAAAAAGTATACCAGGAACTGGGGCTACGAATTGGAGATTGTTGACATGAGCACGAAGAAGCGCTACGCACACGAGTGGAGGGAGAGCTGGGAGAAGGTGGACACGATCCGCAATGCTATGCGCAAATACCCGCACGCTGAATGGTAAGTATGCTGCAATCGACGCTGCAACCAACGCTCACACAGCACAGGTTCTGGTGGCTGGACACGAACACATTCATCATGGAACCAACCTACTCCCTGCAGAAGCACGTTTTCAAGCAGCTGCAAGACGTCACGTACCGCGATATCAACATTTACAACCCTCTCAACATTACACATCCTTTGACAGACGAATACCTCGATCCTGAAACACGCTCGCCGGTGGGAGACGGCAGAGTCGATTCTGTGAACATGCTGGTGCCTCAAGATTGCGGTGGTTTCAATTTGGGCTCGTTCATGGTGCGGAGAAGCGTCTGGACGGACAGGTTGCTTGATATCTGGTGGGATCCCGTTGGATACGAGCAGAAACACATGCAATGGGAGCACAAGGAACAGGATGCATTCGAGCACATGTACCAAAACCAGCCTTGGATCCGGCCCCACGTTGCGTTCATCCAGCAACGTCAAATCATGAGTTTCCCGCCAGGTGCCTGCGGTGATCAGGGCGACAACCCGGACATCCATTACCAAGAGAAGGACCGCGACTTCCTAGTCAACATGGCTGGCTGTGAGTGGGGTCGCGACTGCTGGGCTGAAATGTACAAATACCGCGAGCTTAGCAACCACCTCAACAGAACACCATGGGAGAAGTTCAAGGACGGCCTCTCGGGCTTCTTCAAGAGCAAGTCGAAGAAGGACGGGAAGAAGGATGGAAAGAAAGAAGAGAAGAAGAATTAAATGGCAATCAACGATGTATCCGAGGCGGTATCGAGTGTATTTCTGACATTTCTCGCATTTTGATGGAAGCCAGGATTCGGCTTATGGGTTTACAATAATACTGATGCGCGGACGGGAATGCACAGCCCTTGGAGCTGCATACTCTCAGCATACATAATGCCGGAGTTGGCGTCATGCACCTATACCCCTACAAGGCTGACTATTTGGGAATTAGGTGGGCAGCCGGACGGAATGTGGCGTTGTCATTTCTACAAATGTTATTTCTTGGGTCCAAACGTTGCCTCGAATTCAAATCATTGTCATCCTTTGACCAGCTTCTCCGCACGGAAGCCCCCGCTATCCCCAGGGCTTGTTGGGGCGATGGTATTGGTCGTCGAGGTTATCTAGGTACCCTAGTCCTCTGCAGCATGTCTGCTTGTTTGGAAACCCTGCAAAATAGAAGCAAGTTGTCGACATCGAGTCCACACACTGCATATCTCGTGACTTTTGCAGCATGATGACGTGATTGATGGCGTCTGACGAGCAAGCCTGGAGAAAGCACCTTGGTGCAATGATAGGGAAAGTTACTGAGTCGCTCACCGAGCAAAGGACTACAGGCTTGCATGGCTGTCTCAAAAAACGTCAGTCCAGTGGCAGACGAGCTCGAAATGTACATGCACATGTCCCGTATGCAGGCAGGTGAGCATGCACAGATCCCACGACTCCAAAAGGGTAGGTTGATGAGCGGCGCCTGATTCGTCCATCTCCCACGTCCCATTGCCAATGGTCATACGCCAGCACACGGGACACGGGGCCAGGGACGAGCAGCCGACTGCCTTCTCCGACTCCATCTCTACTACTTTCCTCTCCTCAGGTTGAAGCCCCATTGAGCCCACGTCCAACCTTCTTTTTGGTTGCGTTTCTTTTAGGCCCCGCCCAACGCGACAACCACAACCCACGTTCCCCCTTTCAGGCCGTGCGCAAGCTGGGGAAACAGTACAGGTAGCGTCAGCGCGCTCATAACTCCAGGCTTATCTCCTGCTCCCGCCGTAGTGACTCGACGGCACAGCCCCGAGACCTCTGGAGCCTCAGTTTTGTGTAGCTCCATACCGTGGTCTGCTGTTTCGCAGTCGCCCTTGCCTACCGCCGTCCTAGGTCTACTGCGCTTCGATACCCCGAGTCCGAACAAAGAACCGAAGTCGGCACGGCCCTTGGGGCCCACTGGAGCGCATATCTCCCCACCTGTAGAGATAGGGTCCAAGCTTATAAAGACGTATCCGGACACCGGTTACTACTCGAATCCTTGAAGCTCAAAGGGTGCCATGCACGACCATCGGCCACAGCGACCAGGCCGCCAGTTTGCAAGTGTTGAAGAGGCGCATCGTCCAGACCAAACCATGGCTTCTTCACGACCAGTTGCGTCGCTATCCAGGCCCTCAGATGGTACGTTCATCTCTATACTTGCCTGTATTCTTGACGCCTTCTCTGCCCTGCCCCTTCCATATCAGTGTATCCAAGCATGAGCTTATATCAAGTGTACAGAGTCATGGATCGATATCGCATCAGGGCCCTCGTCGACCTCTTTGTGTTCTGCTACTGACGAGATCATCACGACTGGTCTCACGGTACAGCACGACTCAACACTACACAGGCGGCAGAACAGGCGCTCACGAGGCGGTGGCCAGTTCTCCATAGGAACCGGACACAGAGTTACAGCCGCAGGGGGAAACAGCAGCCAGGAGGAGTATGAAGAGAGCGAGAGCGAGTCGGACCGCGTCATGACGTCTTCAAATGAGGCCCTTGGTCTATCCCCACTGAGACATGACCCTTCGTCCCGAAGCCCACTGTCGGTGGCATCTTCAGAAACCCTGTCGGACAGAGAAGACGATGACGAGAACGCAACTGCCGTCAACTATCCACGTTCTACACGACGCGAGTTTCAGCCGCGACCAAACGCCTTCTCACGTCCGAACGCACAACAAGCCATCCGATCACACTCTGGCACACTGTACACACCTCGTAGAGCTGTGAGGCCAACTGGGCAGCGGCAACAGTCTTATCCTCAGCACACTCCCTTCAACGCCGTAGCTCCCAACTATCAACCCGACCACGACGAAGCTCTGCGCGCCAGCCTATCGACTTTGTTGTCCGCAGCAGCAGCAGTGCGAGGGCTACCCAAGCCAGGACAGCCACGTACAGCCCCGCCATCGTCCACTCGAGTCGATCCGACGTCGCTCCGGATGGTACCTGAGTCTGTCGCTTTGGGCAACATATCCGAGGAGTCTACCTCCTCCCCACGCAGTACCAGCAGCAGCCCCTCCGAGAAGCCCAAGCGAAAAGCAAACCCGCCCATGGCAGCCGCACGAAGTGGCAGCAAGGACCGCCGCGCAATCAGAAAGGTGCGCAAGTCCGGCCCGCTTATCGAGGAGATTAGCCCAACACTGCTCACTTGGGTTGTCAGTGCTGGCGTTGTAGTCCTCGTGAGTGCTATTGGCTTCTCGGCAGGCTATGTTGCTGGCAAAGAAGCAGGCCACGCAGAGGCTATTGGCCAGGTTGGTGCTGCAGGAGTAGACGCTGGACGTTGTGGCAAGGAGGCTGTATCTGGCATGAAGGGCACCGGTTTGGGTTTGAGGAAGCTGAGATGGGGCTCTGGCACAGGCATTCGCGTCTAAGGGCTTGACGACGTTCACGAAATGATTGCATGGCATGTAGCACGCACAAATATGGGTGGGTCAAGGATGGCGTTATTCTATTCTTTTTATCTTCGCTTTATACAGTTTGTAATATCGATATCACGCGGCATGGCGCTAGATGGGCGTTTGGCTGGATTTGCGCCATGGTTAGAGACAAATCTCGTAGCTCCAGACTCGGGTTGCGTTGATAGCTCCAATACCATTTTATTTTCTGGATATTCCGACTGGTGCTTTTTTCTTTTCGTTTGTCCTGACAATAGTACTAGTAAAGTATGAGAACTCCCCCAAATCACCCTCCAAAATACATCTTGTCAATATCAACTCCCAAAATAAGCCCAAACGTCCCCAACATCAACGACCCAACCAACCCCATCACCACATTAACCTCCCACCCCGCAGCTATAGCCTTGCCCCTCACCAACGCATTCTGCAATCTCCAGAACCGTATCGCTCCAACCAGCACAACCACGATGCCCATGCAAATAAATGTGGCCGACAACGGCTTCCCGATCTTGTAGAACCCAAAATGAGGCTGTGGATGCGGACTATGCTGTAGCCGGAACAGCTGTGCGATAATCACACCCGTTACTACGAGGAGAAGCGAGGTACGCAGGTAGCCGAGGAAAGTGCGCTCGAGTGCTTTTGCGCGGGGAGGATCATCTTGTTAGTCGCGTATGTTCGAGACAAGTGTTTTTTTTTTGGGGGGGGGGGGGATGACAATGAATGAAAGGAGACGTAGTACTTACCCAGGTGGTCTCTAAGCGATCCTTCTTCCATGACCAGACTTATCTGTGTACGCCAGAACTTGGCGATTGGGTCGTAGAATCGCGTCTTACACGGTATTGTTGCATTGTGGTCTTCCGTCTCTTGAGGTACATCATCTGCTTGCGTGCTGGCATAGTGGCTCAACTCATCTCTCGGGTCATGCTCTGTATTTGCTTCACTTGGTGTTGCGGCTCTCTTGCGCCTTACGGGTTCTAGCTCTTTTGCAACGCGCTGCCGTTCATGGCGTATGGCAACCTCAGAGTCTGGGTGCTGTTCATCCCGCGCACAGCTGTGGATATGTAGGGCTGCTGAGGGGATGTTAAGAGGCGGTATTGGTGGAGCACGAGGCGGTGGAGGGTCACTCATGAATCAGGTCTGCCAAGTACTAAGTTCTGTAGTAACAAAGACAATATCAATAGCCAGGAAATGTTATCAGTTATGATCAATGGGTGCAGAGTCAGTGCGCTATATCTGACCATACCTTCTGCCGATAAGACCGGTGGAGCAAGGTGGTGCGTGTGAGGTCGGTCTCCAAATGCGTCACAGGAAGCTTAGGCGTAGGGATGGGCTCGGATCATCGCATCGGACCATCGCATTTCCTTGATTCCAACCCTCCAAACCACAGTCACTTTCACCAATCTTAGTCTATCTTTAGATTTCGGCCTCACCATACACCGTGTAGGTACCATTGCACAAAATAGACGATCTCATTGATTGCTACAGTAGCATTTCTATACGAGTCGGGCAAAATAGCTTCTGATCACTTTACTTTGACATGAACTTACTGGCCATGTTCAACACACCACCAAGAGCGCTGCCAGAGCCGCCGCCACTTCCGCCACTTCCGCCACCCATCTGTGACTTCATGTAGAACTGGAGTGCCATCTTTCCTGCCTGGACGATGGCGTCCTGCTTGGTAGCGCTAGGGTCCTACTTTTGTCAGTGCGTGTTTCGATAATCAGGTCAGTCAGTGCTTACCGTGTTGCCCTGGCTCTGCTGCTTATCAAACAGCTGGGCGGCCTGGCCCATGGCCATACCGATGAACTTGTTCTGTCCACCCTTGGCATCCTCATTGCTGCTGTTGTTAAACATCTTCAATGCCTGCATAGCGGCAGCAGCGCCAACATTGTTCGAGCTGGCTTGCCCACCTCCGCTCCCACCGTTGCCATAGAACTTCTCGTGCTGTTTGACCGCATCATCTTCGTCCACACTCTCATTCTGGTAACTGTTCTTGTTGCCAGCTAGCATACCAAGAGCACTGGTAAACAGGCTGGAGTCGCCGCCGCTACCATATTCAGATGCAGCATGCTGAGCTGCGCCAGAGAAGTCGTCGGAGGATCCACCATGACCACCACCTCCGCCGTAGGACGTGCCAGTAGAGTGCTGGCCTCCCTGGTTACCTGATCCGCCATATCCTCCTGAGCTGCCTCCATAACCTCCTGATGGGCGGTCGTTATCGTCGTCACGTCTTGAGCCGCTTCCATGGTTACCTCCTGAGCTACCTCCGTAGCCACCTGACGGACGGTCGTTGTCATCGTCGCGCCTTGAGCCGCTTCCGTAGCCTCCAGACGGGCGATCGTTGTCGTCATCGCGTCCAGATTTACCTCCATAACCGCCTCCTGAGCTGCCTCCGTAGCCACCTGACGGACGGTCGTTGTCATCGTCACGTCTCGAGCCGCTCCCGTAGCCTCCTGATGGGCGGTCATTGTCATCATCGCGCCTGGAGCTGCCTCCATAGTTGCCTCCTGAGCTACCACCATAACCGCCTGATGGACGGTCATTGTCATCGTCACGTCTTGAGCTGCCGCCGTAGCCTCCTGATGGGCGGTCATTATCATCATTGCGGCCTGAGCTACCTCCGTAACTACCTGACGGGCGGTCGTTGTCGTTGTCACGTCCTGAGCTTCCGTAACCGCCAGATGGACGGTCATTGTCATTGTCGCGCCCTCCATAACCACCTGAGGTGCGATCGTTGGAGTTGCGACGTCCTGAGCTGCCTCCATAGCCACCGGAAGTGCGGTCATTATCATTGTCGCGTCCCGAGCTGCCACCATAGCCGCCTGATCTGTTGTCATCTCCATAGCCGCTTCCGCCGCCCCCGGAGTATCCCTCCTGGGACCGGCCAGACTGCTGACCGTACTCGCTGCGATCGTTGTTGTAAGACATTGTCAGATTATGGAGATCTGGTTCAGCATCAGTAGAGCGTAGGGGGAGGGATTGAACGGGTAAGGCAGGGTCTAAACACGCCGTGTAAAGGAACAAATTAAGCTTGCCAGTTCATCTGAGATACTTGCAGCTTATTTTGAGTTTGTTTGGATCTACAGGGGCAGCCCAATTGCCTGCGGGGTAGGTCTCAAGGCAATGGCAAGACAACGTGACAGATGCATAGAGGAGAAGCAACTTACTGTGAAAAAGAATCGAACGTTGGCACTGGTTAAGGTTCAATTGAGTTGTGAAAAAGGAGAAGAGAGAGTTGAGTTCATAAAAGCAGGAAATCAAGGTATCTAAATGGCAGCTGCGGCTGGAGCTCCCACGCGCCTGGTGCCCCTCCACAGACTCCCCGGTTTCCCTCGCCCCACTCCTAATGACGTATGCCTGCACCACCACGCTGCAGGATCATCGTCCATGATTCGTGCCTCGACGCGGCTGGAGAATGTCACGCCAGCCAATTGAGCCGTGAATGAGACAGCTTTCCGTCTTCAATGTCATACTTGGCATCGCCTGCGGGGTCCACGCCAGACAGTATAGAGTATTACAGATTGCGTGTTCATATCCCTACGATCCCCACCCCGCGCTATATATACCAAAGTTTGTCACACTAACACGTCGAAGCCATGCTAAACTTGTCCACGGAGGTAAGGTCCCTTTCAAAGTGGAACCTAGCAGTCCTCGTCATCCTGGTACTCTGGCATAATGATCTCACATGACTTGTGCGTGTTATCACAACCAGTACAGGCATATTCAGACTACCCTCCTCCACAATAGCACCCTCTAACCTTTATCCTGGCTCCATCTATTAAATCCACAATTCGATTGTGACAGCCAATGATCCACCTTGAACAATATATGGGAACGCTGAGTATCACTGAAACATGACAAGCTCAGATTGAACTACATAAGTATTCATGTTACCTAGCCACACATGCGATGGAGAACTTCCACCGGGCCAGAGGTAAAGAGAATATCCCAACTCCTCCAAACTGCAAATGCAGTTGACCGTATGATGACAACGCTGTATACACTAGAACATAATTTTTATCCCACCCCTTTTCATGAGACATTCACCCCAATTAGGGCGAGCTTCGGCTAGATCTTACACCCCAGCACTCCTTCCCCCGCGTCGGATTTGAGCATTGAGCTATCCGTTTAGAGTGGCCTGCCACCAACGAAGTCACTCCACGACCTGACCTCGCTTGGGATACCCTCCTTCTTGGGTAGCTTCTCGCTCATACATTGAGCAAACAGGACTGCAGTCTGCAGCAAGTTAGCTTCCAGATTCATCAGTACAAAGCAGAAAGACTCACCTTGGGCTCCATAAACAGTGGCACACCAAAGTCGACGGCGTTCCTCCTCATAACGTAGTCCTCGTCGAACAGGCCGTTCGCCCTGTACTTGGCCAGGTTGAAGCAACCGCGGATGTTGTTCTTCTCAAACACCTCACGCAGCTTCCTCTTGTCATCCTTGGGGAACTCGATGACGTCAACAGTGACGCCCTCTGTGTTCTTCTCCAGAAGCTCCTTTACTTCCTTGTTGGCAGCAAGGAACCTGTAGCCAAGCGCGTGCACGTATTTGGCAATCTGGATCAGAGAGTTGGAGTGTAGTGAGCCAGGAGTGACATCACCACCGAACAAGAGACCCTCACCAGGCTGGGGGAGGCGGAAGTTCATTTGTGATTGCGCAGATGCCCAGTAGGCCTCGACAAGGTCCTTACCAAAGCAGGCCATCTCACCAGTAGACGACATCTCTACGCCAAGGTAGGGGTCAGCACCAGCCAACCTGGTCCAGGAGAATTGAGGGACCTTGGTGGCGAGGTAGTTCCTCTCCACAGCCATGAGATCAGTAGGCTCAGGGACGTCACGGCCGACAAGAGCCTTTGTGGCAACATCAATGAAGTTGGTACCAAGGACCTTGCTGACAAAGGGGAACGAACGAGAAGCACGGAGGTTGCACTCGATGACCTTGAGGTTCGGCTCAGAGCCCTCGACTTCCTCCTTGATGATTTGCATGTTGAAGGGACCAGTGATGTTCCAGGCCTTGGCAACCTTGTCGGCAATCTCCTTGACACGCTCTTGGATGCGCTTGTCAAGGTTAACTGGTGGCAGTACAAGGGTAGCATCACCAGAGTGAACACCAGCGTTCTCAACGTGCTCGCTGACCGCGTGAACAAGGACATTTCCGTTGGAAGCAACAGCATCGCAGTCAATTTCTTGAGCGCCGTCAATAAACTTGGTAATGACGACTGGGTGGTCGGGTGACACGTTGGAGGCAGCGAGGAGCTTCTCCTTCAGTTCATCCTCACCACGGATGACAGTCATGGCGGCACCAGAAAGGACGTACGATGGGCGGACAAGAACTGGGTACCCAACAGAGCTTGCAAACTTCTTTGCATCATCGTAAGAAGTGAGTTCCTTCCAAGCTGGCTGGTCTACACCAATTGAGTCCAGAATAGAAGAGAACTTGTGACGATCTTCGGCCTTGTCGATATCTGCGGGATCGGTTCCGAGAACCTTGGCCTTGCCAGACTCCTGCAGCTTCAGAGCAATGTTCTGGGGAAGCTGACCACCGACAGAGACGACAACTCCGCTGGCGGTTTCAAGCTCGTAGATATCCATCACACGCTCATAGCTGAGCTCTTCGAAGTAGAGCTTGTCGGCGACATCGAAATCCGTACTGTAGGTCTCTGGGTTGTAGTTGATCATGACAGTCTTCTTGCCAAGTGCGTTGAGGGAGCGGGTAGCGTTGACAGCGCACCAATCGAACTCGACAGAGCTTCCAATACGGTAGACACCGCTACCAAGAACGATGACACCATGGTCATCAAAGGTAACATCGTGCGATGAGGCGTTGTACGTAGTGTAAAGGTAGTTCGTGTTTGCAGGGAACTCAGCAGCCAAGGTATCAATACGCTTAACCCATGGCCTGATTCCAAAGCCGGTTCTGCGGGCGCGGACCTCGTCTTCTGTGCTGTTAACTGCCTTTGCAATCTGCTTGTCAGAGAAACCAAGCTTCTTGGCCTTGAGGATAATCTCCTTCTTGAGGCCGAACAGGCTGCCAATGTTCTCAAGTTCCTTTGTGCAGTCGACAATGTTCTGGAGCTTGTGCAAGAACCACTTGTCAATCTTAGTGAGATCATGAACCTTATCAACGGAGTAGCCTTCGTGGAACAGAGCTTGACCAACAGCAAGCCATCGTCGATCAGTAGGGTTCTTGAGCTCTTCATCGAGGCTCTCGCCGTACTTTTCACCCTGGAAACCGAGGTACTTGGGGTCGACTTGTCGGCAAGCCTTTTGGAAAGACTCTTCGAATGTACGTCCAATAGCCATAACCTCACCGACCGACTTCATGGAGCTGCCGATGTCGCGCTTGACATTCTGGAACTTGCTGAGATCCCATCGAGGCATCTTGGTGACAACATAGTCCAGACTAGGCTCGAAGTTTGCGGTTGTGGTCTTGGTGACGGCATTTGGTAGTTCAGGAAGCGTGTGTCCAAGACCAATCTTGGCTGCAGTGTAAGCTAGAGGGTAACCAGTTGCTTTGGAAGCCAGTGCAGATGAACGAGAAAGACGAGCGTTGACTTCAATGACACGGTAATCGAGACCATCTGGCTGCAGGCAGTACTGTACGTTGCACTCTCCAACAACTCCCAAATGCCTGACAATCTTGATGGACGCAGATCGGAGCATGTGGTATTCCTCGTCGCTGAATGTCTGACTTGGCGATACGACAATACTGTCACCGGTGTGGACACCAAGAGGATCAAAGTTTTCCATGTTGCAGACTGTAATGCAGTTGTCGCTTGCATCACGCACAACCTCATATTCAGCCTCCTTCCAGCCCTTGAGAGACTTCTCGACCAAGATTTGGGGTGACAGCGTGAGCGAACGAGCTGACAAGTTCTTCAGCTCTTCGGGGTTGTTTGCGAAACCAGAACCGAGACCACCCAGTGCATATGCAGCACGAACAATGATCGGGTATCCGACCTTTTCAGCAGCATCCAACGCCTCGTCTACCGTGGAGACGGCAATTGACTTGGCAATGGGAATGTTGATTTCTTCCAAAGCGCGCGCGAAGAGATCACGGTCCTCACTCGTCTTGAGAGTCTGGACGCTAGTACCGAGTACCTTGACACCATATTTTTCAAAAATGCCCTTGGCATCCATCTGGACACCCAGGTTCAATGCAGTTTGACCACCAAAGCTGAGGAAGATTCCGTCGGGCTTCTCCTTCTGGATGACATATTCGGCGTATTCGGGAGTTACAGGCAAGTAGTAGATTTCATCGGCGAGCACGTGGGATGTTTGGATAGTAGCAATATTAGGGTTGAGCAGCACGGATTTGACGCCGGCTTCCCTCAGAGCCTTGAGCGCCTGTGAACCTGCAATCCAATGAGCATATGGTCATTCTCGCGTAATTGTGTTTAGTGGTGTTTGCGCACCTGAGTAGTCAAACTCTCCGGCCTGGCCAATGCTAAGACCACCACTGCCAATGACCAGGACTTTCTTTACGTCGACAAGATCCTGTGCGCCAGAAATGACGCCGCTCTTGAGATACGCCTCGGCACTGGGCGCTGTCTGTGTCTTATTCCATGTTGATGCGACCTTTGTGAATGCCCGCAGTTGCCGGTAAACCGCAGGTGACTCAGTGCTGGAGCGGAGAGAAGTCAGAGGGCGAGCAGCGCGGGTTGTGAAGTTTCGCGAGCATGCAGAAGATGCCAATGAGCGAGTTTGACCTGTGAGGGTAGGTACGCGACGTGCTAGACGCCCGCAGAGAGCCATTTGCAGGCGGACAAGCGGCTTGAGGGCTGTGAGCTCGTTGTAGGTGGGAGCGACAAAGAAAGGCGACGCACGCGCTGGAAAAAAGTCGCTCGATGGCCGGCGGGGGGAATTGAAGAAGTATAGCTCGACCCTAGCGGAGCCAGAGCACAAATGACTCCCTCAAGGTTTATG